TATCTTATAATATTTTTAAAATTTTAATTAATAATTAATAAAATTTACTATATTTTATCAATAATATTTTTAAAAAATAAATAACTAAATATCAAAATAATTTTTAATTACAATTATAATATAGTACAGTTTAATACAACAATAACTACAATTACGGCTTTAGAAATTTACAATAATTTTAAACGCATCTTAAAATAATTTTTAATTACAATTATAATATAGTACAATTTAATACAACAATAACTACAATTACGGCTTTAGAAATTTACAATAATTTTAAACGCATCTTGTCTTTTAGAATGGACACTTAGGCACTTCTCTGGCTTTGACCTGCCAAAAGAATTTAATTTTTAACTAATTTTAATTTTTTTTATTTTAATTAATTTTTCAAAATTAAAAAAACATGTATGAATTCCAGACAATTTTAGCCATATCATTCTAGATTATCCACGTAATAGCCAAATCGACAAAATCATGCCACACAACGAAGTATTTCACAGATTATAATGGACATTTAACATCGTAGTTAACTTTTGTATGTTTTACTATTTATGAATAATGGAAATTTGGAGGAAAATTAGTTTAAGATGTTACTGCAGGAAGAAAAAATATCTAGATGGCAAATAGGGGTTTATCCTTGCCTTAAACATTCACAATTTAAGGGTTAAATTTCTTATATTCTATGTTGGGGGTTAAAAGACTCAAAGAAAATAATTTTGAGGGTGTCCCAGGGGTTAAGCCCCCTTTTTTATGAATTGGGATTAACCCCACCAACCCAAAGCCTGATAAGGTAACTGCAACTTCCCTAATTTATCAAATATTTTTTATTTATTTATCATTAATTATTAATTACTTAAATTCTTGAAGAACCTAAGAAAACCACTTCTAATAAAAAAAAAAAAAGCGCACACACACTCACATTAAGCCCACCTACCCAGAACTTGACAAGGTAAGTGCAATTTCCCTAATTTAATATTTTTATTCATTTTATCACTAATTACTTAAACCCTTGAAGAACCTGAGAAAAAACATTGCCGGGTTTTTCCTTCCTCACGCGCAAAGCAGCGCCACCTAGATCAGTTTCTTTCTCTTCCCTGTTCTCCGCGCGCTACTCTCCTTTCGGCCTCTTGCAATTGGTCGTACAAGGCATGAAGGCATGTTTCTTTCACTTAATTTCTTGTCCTAACTTTCCCCCCGATTTTATTAGATCCAAACTCATCCACTTTTTTTTTTTTTTTATCTAGATAATTTTCTGTAGTCGTCATTTTGATATCGGTTTTGACTATATATGTGATATTTTGTTCTTCAGGACAGAATTTAGCATGGATATTTTATTTTATAATACAAAGTGATTTAAATGGTAAAATATAAATTATTTATTAAAAATTTTAATGTTATAAAGTTTAATTTTTATTAAATAATTAATATTTTATAATTTAAATGAATTTAACCGGTAAAACACTTTCTTGATTTAGAATTGATTTATCATACCGCTTTTTAACATTTTTTTTTTTTACAAGGCTTTTTAACAATTTGAATTGTTCTGATCTACAGGAAAACAACAGTTAAGAGATGGGGTGATCGACGTCCCAATTATTATTGATAAGGATCTTAAAAATTCCCGATCCCATGTGGGTCCCACCGTGGGTGAAGACTTCAGAAAGGTATACTAGATTTTTTTTTTTTAATGGGTCAAAGTTTCATTAGTCTTTTCTATTGGTGCATATCAGAACCAACATTTAGTCTCGTTTCATTAACTTTTTTTTTCTTTTTCTACAAGAGAACTCACGGGCCTCCTATTTTGCAATAAAAAAAACTATCATTATTGTCCCTTTTTTTTTTTTATCATAAACTATTAATAATAGCTAGCTCTTTTAATCTGATCATTAATTCTGATAATTAAAATAAAATTTTATTTATGTTTAGTCTCTTGATTCATTACTTTTTTTTCATTTAACCTTTTTTAGCTGTGATCTAATAGATAGATCAAATTAAAGAAAATAAAGTTAATTAGATCCATATTTAGCTGTTTTTTAGCTGAGTAATTTTTTATTTTTTCTTGTTTTAAAGGTTAATTTAATAGGACCCATGTTTTATAATTTTAGATTACTTCTTGTTTAGCTTAGTTGGATGAACCTTAATCCTCTTCTTAAAAATGGTCCTAAATTGATTTTTCTTAATGACGTGTATAATGTTGTTAGAGTTTCCGACCTAGTTGTCATCTCATAACTATGAGAAGGTATTTAACTTAAAGAAAAAACACTGAATGAGGAACTTTTTCTCGGTTTATTTGGATGAAGCTACACATCTGCTTTGTACTGGTTACCTAATTGCTTGTTAAATTTCCGTTTAGGAAAGCAAACTTTAGTCCAGAAACTCTATTTTCTCCGGTCAAGAAAGCTCTCAACCTTTATTAAATATGTTTAAAATTCTTCTAATGCAATTGAGGTAGTACAACCACTCGATAAAACAGTAGAACTTTGATATGTAAACAAAATAATCATCAACCCCATTACAATGTAGGTTACGCATCAATTTTTCCCGGCAATGAAGTTATATATCAGACGCAATTTTTATTCACCAGCCTTTTTTTATATTTTCTTTTTTGCAGTTGTTAAGAGTTATGCCAAACTAGATGGTAATAGTTAACAACTAATAGTTACCCAAATCCTGCTAGTGCCAACGGTTTTTCCCTTGACAGTCACATCATCTTTGAAAATTGAAATCATAAAGCAAGCAAATTTAGTTATGTTGTTAGTTCCCCAAAGAGCATTGTGGTTTTAATCTATGGTTTTTACATGGAATATCCGAGTTTTAGCAGTTTTGATGGCTGTTTGAAATAAAATTGTTGAATTGAATTTTTAAGATTCTTAATTATAATGGATATGGTTTGTAGTTTGATGAGAACCTATTCTAAGTTTCTGACTATACCCTCTTTTCTTTAGGGTTGTCTTTTGTGGCATTGCATCCTTATGCTATTTACAACAGAACCATCTTACGAGCTTATGTTTTGCTGGCTCATAGCATGTTGAAGCATGTTCAAGTTTGAATCTCCCTCGTGTTTCATTTTGTTCGGATGTTTCAGCGAAGACTCTCATGCCTTTCTTATATATTGGCTAACTCACCAGGGCTAAAGTAACCTAGGACAGGGCATTTTTCAACATTGCAATGTATAAATCCAAGTAACTTCTGTTTTGGTGGTTCGTAGCAGGCTGACGCATCCTTTGAAAACTGCCATGTCCCAGGTTACTTTAGCCTTGTCAAGGTAGCTAGTATAAGAAAGCCTTTGAGAGAGTGTCCTTTGATTAAAGGGCATACCGTGTTGGTCTACTTTGGGACATTGAAAACTGTCCTATCCCAAGTGACATTAGCTCTGCCGATGCAGCTGTCAATATAAGTAAGGCTTTGAAAGAGCATCCTTTTTTAAAGGGGCTGTTAGCATGTTCTCTGCCTAAGGGGATTTTAATTACTTCACGTTGTGTCTTAGAGAGGGTTGCTGAACTGGTTAAATTTATTAATGTTCCAAACGAAACTATGGATGCTGCTGACAAGGCTATCTTGGTTGACATGTTTTTGTTTGCTCTTGACAACCCTCCACCTCCTTATAACTGATTTCAGAGGATGTAGGTCAGCTCTTCCCTTGGTTAGCGTGGGTATACGGTCAATCTTGATGTTCCTTCTGGCGTGAGTGTTTCTTCTGCCCTATGCAATGCTGGTAAGTTTGTTTGTGACTAGACTAGTATGGCTTCTGGGGAAGGCTTTGCTCAGCCCTGCAAAACCTTAATGCGTAACACACTCGTGGAGGACTATTTGCCCATATCAATGAGAATCTTGATGGTCAAAATGAGGAAATAGCCTTATTAAGCACATGAGGTAATTTTCTATCACTGGACCTACCTGCCCTAGTCATTAGCATTGCTGCCACCAGGGGGAAAATCCATATTATTCTCCTGAAATTCCCTTTGATTTTATTAAATGTACTGTACTTGGGCTTGCTTTCCATTTTCGAAGTTAAACAAATTTCTTAGTACCTTTTCCATCCATTACTATGACACCATCGCATCCGGAGGCTGCCTGCTTTTACCCAAGTCCCTGTCGAGTATCAAAACATGTTTAGAAGGCTGCTTCGTCATTCCGAATATGAAGCATTCAAATTTATTAGTCTCTTCAAGAAGATGGATGATGGCTATGGCGTTAGATGGAAAAGGCAATAAGAAATTTGCCTTTCCAGAACTGGAAAGCAGGCCCAAGTATACCGTCTTTAATTAAAGCTAAGGGGATTCAAGTGTATAATATGGATTTTGCCCATGGTGGAAGCACTTATAACGGTCGTTCTGGTAATCATGATTGAATTGTTGACCCTGCTGATTCCAGGAAAGTTTTTGGCCCTTGAATTTCACCTAACGTGAACTGTCCTATAGAGGAAACTAGATATGGTGTGTTTAAGATGTAACTATGATGATTTTACCTCATAGTTACGATGTGAAATAATGTGATGAAAATCTCAATCAGAGACCATTGCAAACAAATGATTTTACCTCCTACAGTTACAAAATGATTTAACCGTAGCACATGTTTTTCTATTGAATGATGGATGTTGTTTGTTGTAGGGATGTCTTATTAAAGCAGAGAAATTTTATATTATCAACAAAAAAAGAAGAGAAATTTTATTTCATGAGTACAAGTGTTACTCAAACTCAATCCATTACATGCTATTTAGATTCTGTTCAACATCAACCACCTACACCCCCAAATTAAAGAATTCATATCATTGATCAATCCTACTTGCAAAACATCCAAAACCCTGTACCCTGCACCTCCAAAACTGTTCCAATTCACATAACAACTTAACAAGCATCCAAAACTCTTCCAGGGGTTCCACTCGCCACATATCAATAGATAAATTAGGCCAAAGCTTAGATTCCAACCAGTGATTTTTGAGTGGCATATACAACTGGATCTTTTTTTATTTTATTTTTTAACTGGGTCTCTTGGCATATAACAGACTACAAGAGAACTGAAGGAATGAAGATATGAAACTAAGAAAACTAAAATTTGTTATAAAAACTTGAAATAAGGGTAAGAAAAGACGTGAAGGGCATGTAAATTGTGAAATGGTTGAGAACTTGAAAACCAAACCTGCTCATGTACTTGACAAATTCATCTAACAGAACAGGCCAGGAGCCTGCAAAAGTGACCAACTAATAATTACAAAGCACAAAATAACAACCAAACCAACAAGGGAGATATAGGGAAATTAATAACTTCAGGACTGTACCCTTCTAGATTTTCATATATACACATAAGCTAAAAGCTAAAACTTGCTGTCAATTATCCTCTT